TTTGAACTGGGGGCGACAATCAACGAACAAACTGGGGGTCTCTAAGGGGGTCTTAAGAGGGGTGGCGGCGGCGCCTGGGGTAGGGGGAAGGAATAACACGACTGGCCCAAAGCCAGACTTCGCGCTCGAAACCTCTGGGAGTATGGGGGCTGGGGGCGGAACTGAGCACGCGGAGCCGGGGGCCGGGAAGTGACCGGCGCCCTCGGATCCCCACGCCGTGCACACGCCACTACGCGCGGACACCGTGCCCACCAGGTGTCTACCCCCACCCCCGCCCGCCTCCACCATTATATAACCGGCGGGTGGGCTTGGAAGCTACAGGGAAAGAGTCGGAGACCCACAACCCCCCTGCCCCCACCTCTGCCCGCGCCGCGCGGAGCGTTCGTGCCCTTCCCGGTGTTATGCAACCCAAACCCGCAGGGGGTTGGGGGCGGCGGGCCGCGCTGCTCACCCGGGCCGGCCAGTGTGGGTAGCCCTTCATCTTGGCAAACACCAGGTCCCCGCATTTGTACTCCTTCTGCCGGTTGGATCGCGACATGGCGGGGCTCCGGGCGCCCCGGGCTCCGCGCCGGGCCGGGAAGCGCGAGCCCAAGTTTGCGCGTGCGGCGGTGGCGGCGCCGCTCCGCTCCGGCCCTCGCGCGGCCCCCGCCTCGATGGTGGCCCCCGGCCCGAGCTCCGGCGCTGCCACGGCGTCTCCGCCCGCGCGCCACACGGACGGGGCGGGCGTGGATCGGGTCAAAGCTCCGGCGCGGTGGGTGCGCGCTCGTGCAGTTGTTTGTGTTTGAAATTCAATTGCTCCCTCCTCTGCGCGAGGCCTCTTCCTCCACCCCCAGCCCGGTCCCCACTCCTCCTCCTCCTCCTCCCTCCTCCCGGGCCCACTCCTCCTCCTCCCCCCGCCCCCCCGCCTCGCGCTCCCTCCCGCGGCGGTTTGATGCGTGCAGCTTCTTGACGCCCAGGGCCTGCCACGGCCCAACGCCCAACCTGGAGCCGCCTGACGGCGCGTGGCGGCACAGGCATAAGGAGCCGATCGCCGAGCTCGCCGAGCAGGCTTTGTGTCCCCGCTGTCGGTGGGTGCCCGCCCGCCCGGGAGGAGCTGGCGCCCGGCTGGACGGAGCGGCCCCCGCCCTTCCCCTGCCTCCGCGGAGTGCTCACCACCGCGGCCCCAGCGCAGTTAAGTGTGGACGTCTATACGCGGTTTCCGCCTGCCCTCTGCTCCATCTCAATCCACGAATATTTACTGGGCACCCGCGGTTCTTGGCAGTGTGCTAGGCGCCCAGGGCGAGAGGAGTGGGCACCGTGCCGCTCCGCGCACTGGGGTCCTCCCTGGACCTCGCCGTGCTTACCGTATGTGGGGTGGCCCTGGAAACGTCGGGGATTTGAGCCCTATGTCCGCCTTTGCTAAGGAGGAAACGCTTGAATTTGGTAGCCAGGAGATGGCCAAGGAGTTGAGGCACAAATTGGCCACCTTCCGGGTGCATTCAATCTCGTTTCTCTACGCTACTGTCTTGCCCAGGAGACTTGGACTCAATGGCTAGTTAACCCCGCAAAGATGAGCTCAGTTCTAGTGGGTTACAGTAGAATGCCAATAAACCCAACCCTTTCGGTAAACTGTGAAGACTGAGGGGCCAGGTGCTACCTTTTTTAGAAGGTGGGGAGGGGAGTCTGGGAAGGCTTCACAAAGGTGGAGACTGAACTGGGCATTAAAGAATGAGTAGAGGCCGGGCGCGGTGGCTCAAGCCTGTAATCCCAGCACTTTGGGAGGCCGAGACGGGTGGATCACGAGGTCAGGAGATCGAGACCATCCTGGCTAACACGGTGAAACCCCGTCTCTACTAAAAAATACAAAAAACCAGCCGGGCGTGGTGGCGGGTGCCTGTAGTCCCAGCTACTTGGGAGGCTGAGGCAGGAGAATGGCGTGAACCCGGCAGGCGGAGCTTGCAGTGAGCTGAGATCTGGCCATTGCACTCCAGCCTGGGCGGCAGAGCGAGACTCCGTCTCAAAAAAAAAAAAAAAAAAGAATGAGTAGAATTTTGCCAAATTCTGAGACTACATTTTGGCCTAGGTTATAAGCTAAGAAGTGATAGAACCAAAACTTGAACTCAGGTCTCTTCTATTACGCTAAATAAGACTTTATTGTAATTACGTCTTTGATTTGCTGTCCCTGTATTTGCCCACATTCCAGACACCTATGTTCCCTTAGAAATAAGATATTTGGATCTTATGTTACAGCATTTACATGTCCTTAAAATTTAGCAACAAAATATGCTAGGTTTGAATAGGTAAAATATGCATTTTTTCTTCTCACGTTTCCTGATCCTATTTCAAAGCATATGCAAAGTCTCCCTGCAAAGAAGTCCAGGATGTAGCCAAAAGTTCCAAATCCACATCCTACCCTACTGTTCATCAGTCCTGAGAACTTGGACAACCTCCTGGACTCTGAGCCTCAGTTTCCTCTGCTGTAAGATGGGATAACATGACTGCCCTGGTAACTAACATCAGAGGCATAGAATGGCTGCTTGTCATTAGGGGATGCCTGCAGTTGTTCCCAGAGTCCTGCATGACACTTGGCTGTCCTTATGTCCATGGCAATATGTTTCATGACTTTTGCCTTTATAACAGTGTGGCCTCTCAACCATAGTTCCCCTTGTGATAAGAGGCACACCAGGCTGCTGGCACAGGAGGGGCATTCTGGAAGGTCCTATTGCAAGAAAACAGCCAAGCAGGCCCTCAGCCACAAGCTTGTCGATTTGTTTCCATAGCAAATTCAAACTTGTTGCAACAGAGCAACTAGGTTCTAGTTGGTGTTTGCTCTACAATGCATTCCATTTTGAAATGCAGTCAGTGTAACAGTCCAGATTCTATCAGGCTAATCTTTTTGTTAGGAGAGAATCTTGTCACAAGTTCTTGAAGATGTTTCAAGATTAAGTCCAGCATCAGGACAGGTTTCCTTTAACTGTCTAAGTGATTATTTTATTCTATCTATCTATATATCTATCTATCTAGGACAGAATCTCGCTCCGTTGCCCAGGCTGGAGTGCAGTGGCACGATCTCGGCTCACTGCAACCTCCGCCTCCCGGGTTCAAGCAATTCT